TCCTTCGTTATTTCTTCATCAATTAAGTAGGTAAAAGGTCTGGAGTTGATTCTAAATGTGGTATTTGAATTTGGAATCTATTGCTGTGAACTTACATCATGCGTTCAAAGGAGCTGTCCATGTAAGTGAAACAGGCCATTGTAAGGCTTCAAAAACAAAACAAATCCATCAGAGAGACAGCGGCAACATTAGGAGTGGCCAAATCAAGAGTTTGGTACATTCTGAGGAAAGAAGAATGCGCTGGTGAGCTCAGCAACATAAAAAGGCATAAACGTCTATGGAAGATAACAGTGGTGGATTATCGCAGGATCCTCTCTATGGTAAATAAAAACCCGTTTACAACATCCAGACAAGTGAAAGACACTCTCCAGGAGGTGGGCGTATCATTGTCAAAGTCTACAATCAAGAGAAGACTTCACAAGAACAAATACAGAGGGTTCACCACAAGGTGCAAACCATTCATAAGCCTAAAGAATAGAAAAGCCAGATTAGACTTTGCCAAAAAAACATGTAAAAAAGCCAGACCAGTTCTGGAAAAGCATTCTTTGGACGGATGAGACTAAAATTAATCTGTACCAGAATGACGGGAAGAAAAAAGTGTGGAGAAGGCTTGGAACAGCTCATGATCCAAAGCACACAACGTCATCTGTAAAACATGGTGGAGGCAGTGTGAAGGCATGGGCATGTATGACTTCCAGTGGCACTGGGTCATTGGTGTTTATTGATAATGTGACAGAAGCAGCCGGATGAATTGTGCAGTGTTTTAGAGAGATACTGTCAGCCCAGATTCAGCCAAATGTAGCAAAGTTGATTGGACGGTGCTTCACAGTACAGATGGAAAATGATTCAAAACACTGCAAAAGCAACCCAAAAGCTTTCCGAAGGAAAAGTGCAATGGCTGAATCACCTGATCTCAACCTAATTGAGCATGCATTTCACTTGCTGAAGGCAAAATTAAAGGCAGAAAGACCCACAAACAAAAACAACTGAAGACAGCTGCAGTTAGAGCCTGGCAAAGCATCAGAAAGGAGGAAACCAGTCTTTGGTAATGTCCATGGGTTCCAGACTTCAGGCAGTCATTGTCAGTAAAGGATTCTCAACAAAATATTAAAATTGAACATTTTTATTATGATTAGTTGTGTCCAAAATTATATTCTGAAATTTGTCCACATTACATTGAACTTGCCCTGAAAATGGAGGGACTGTGTATAAAAAATGGTTGCAGTTCCTAAAATTTGTACTTTATATTTTATGTTCATAACCCCTTGAATTAAAGACAAAAGTATGAAAATTGTGCCTGTGTCCAAATATTTATATGGACCTAACTGTATATGTGCCGAAATATTTACATCTATCATGTCCCCCATTTGATCAAAATGACTATGTACAAGGTGATCTGAAATCGAGCGTTTCTTCCAGTATACAATATCCGCATAATCATATGCATTGTGCTATTTGTGGATCCGTTTGAAGTACCGTATTTTCCACGGGGACTTCTCTCCACTATACGCTTCAAGACGTCAGCATCTTCTTTCCCCCTAGCGTTTTTCCTTTTTGAAAATGATGCTTCCTAGGGTTTGCGCTATACTCCTTCCGTGAAGAAAACACCTCCTCTTGTCTTCCTGGAACGCACACCAACCATACCAAAATGTCTAGAAGGAAAGTAAACAGCTGCCTAATTGGATTTGATTTCAATATCGGGAATGGTATGTATGTCTGTTCTTCAATGATGGAGTTGCTAATTTCCACATAAGAACCCACTGACATAAACAATTGATGTCAAGTTGCATTTGGGGGCCGATTCCCCCCACTATGACTAAACCCCTTTACAATGATGGTGACACCCCATCATTAGTGTCAGTGTGTGAGTAATAGTGTAACCCCTTGAATTAAAGACAAAAGTATGAAAATTTGCCTGTGTCAAATATAGTGGGAGGAATAGTGCATCTATCGTCACTATGTGGTGTCTGAAATGAGGAGTAACAACTGCCCATAATCATTAATCATTGGTTTGTGGGAAGGAATAGTGACCCCCTGTCGTTTTAAAATATAGGGTGTCAGTGGGAGGAATAGTGCCCATGTCGTTGGTGTCAGTGGGAGGAATAGTGCCCCCGTCGTTGGTGTCAGTGGGAGGAATAGTGCCCATGTCGTTGTGTCAGTGGGAGGAATAGTTGCCCATGTCGTTGGTAGGGTGTCAGTGGGAGGAATAGTGCCCCGTCATTGGTGTCAGTGGGAGGAGGAATAGTGCCCCGGAGTGTCAGTGGGAGGAATAGTGCCCCGTCGTTGGTGTCAGTGGGAGGAATAGTGCCCCGTCGTTGGTGTCAGTGGGGAGGAATGTGCCCCGTCGTTGGGTCAGTGGGAATAGTGCCCCGTCGTTGGTGTCAGTGGGAGGAATAGTGCCCCGTCGTTGGTGTCAGTGGGAGGAATAGTGCCCCGTCGTTGGTGTCAGTGGGAGGAATAGTGCCCCGTCGTTGGTGTCAGTGGGAGGAATAGTGCCCCGTCGTTGGTGTCAGTGGGAGGAATAGTGCCCCGTCGTTGGTGTCAGTGGGAGGAAGTGGTGTCAGTGGGAGGAATAGTGCCCCGTCGTTGGTGTCAGTGGGAGGAATAGTGCCCCGTCGTTGGTGTCAGTGGGAGGAATAGTGCCCCGTCGTTGGTGTCAGTGGGAGGAATAGTGCCCCGTCGTTGGTGTCAGTGGGAGCAATAGTGCCCCGTCGTTGGTGTCAGTGGGAGGAATAGTGCCCCGTCGTTGGTGTCAGTGGGGGGAGCAATAGTGTGCCCCGTCGTTGGTGTCAGTGTGGGGGGAATAGTGCCCCGTCGTTGGGGGAATAGTGCCCCGTCGTTGGTGTCAGTGGTGTCAGTGGGGAGCAATAGTGTGCCCCGTCGTTGGTGTCAGTGGGGGGGGATAGTGCCCCGTCGTTGGTGTCAGTGGGGGGCAATAGTGCCCCGTCGTTGGTGTCAGTGGGGGGGGGGTCAGGGGAGAATAGTGCCCCGTCGTTGGTGTCAGTGGGGCAATAGTGAAGTGGGAGTGCCCCGTCGTTGGTGTCAGTGGGGGGGGGGGAATAGTGCCCCGTCGTTGGTGTCAGTGGGGGGAGGGTGGGGAGGAATAGTGCCCCGTCGTTGGTGTCAGTGGGGGGGGGGGGATAGTGCCCCATCGTTGGTGTCAGTGGGGGGGATAGTGCCCCATCGTTGGTGTCAGGGGGGGGGGGATAGTGCCCCATCGTCGGTGTCGTTGGGAGTGGGGGGGGGGGGAATAGTGCCCCATCGTTGGTGTCAGTGGGAGGAGGGTGGGGAGGAATAGTGCCCCATCGTTGGTGTCAGTGGGGGGGGGGAATAGTGCCCCATCGTTGGTGTCAGTGGGGGGAGGGTGGGGGGGAATAGTGCCCCATCGTTGGTGTCAGTGGGGGGGAGGAATAGTGCCCCATCGTTGGTGTCAGTGGGGGGAGGGGGGGGGAATAGTGCCCCATCGTTGGTGTCAGTGGGAGGAATAGTGCCCCAACATTGGGTCAGTGGGGGGGGGGAGGAATAGTTCCCCATCATTGGTGTCAGTGGGGGGGAGGAATAGTGCCCCATCATTGGTGTCAGTGGGGGGGGGGAGGAATAGTGCCCCCATTGTTGGTGTCAGAGGGGGGGGGGAGGAATAGTGCCCCATCGTTGGTGTCAGTGGGAGGAATAATGCCCCATCATTAGTATCAGTGACACCAATGATGGGGCATTATTGCTCCCACTGACACCAATGACACTTGCTGACCCCCTGTTCCAGCATGGTGCTGCTGCAGCCAGCATACGTGGTTGCAGCAGCACCATCTGCACTGCACACCTTACCGGCCGCTCCCTCACTCGATGTTCGCATGGCCGCTCGGCTCCACCTCCTCGCCTGTGTGCCTTTCCTGAGCTACAGTTCTGGTGCCCAATCACCGGTGAGGAGGCGGAGCCAAGCGGCCGCACGAACATCGAGTGAGAGAGCGGCCAAACTGAATGAAGGAGCAGCCGCGCTTCCTGGACTGGATCGTCGTGGGACCGGAGCCAGGTAAGAAACAGCAGCCCCCTGCCCCACCTGTACTTATTGTCCCTTCCGTTGGAAGGGGGGGTGGCGGCACCGACCCCCGACTTTTGAGAAGATTTTCATGGGTTAAAAAGTCGTCCTATATGCCGGAAAATACAGTAAATACCAATATTTGCTAATAATGGGCCTAATTTGATGTTGTTGTCTAGTGTATCGAACGACGTCCCCCCCTTTTTTTTTTTTTTTTTTTTTTTTTTTTTTTTTTTTTTCCTTTCTTACCTTAAACCGAGGTCAGGATCCAAAAGAGGACTGACATCACAGGGGAATGGTAGGGAACCAGTGATCTTGGGCCCCATTGCACTGCTGTATTTGTGACACACACGCACACGTTGAGAGAAAAATTCCTAGAAGGGATAGAGGTGGGTGGGAGCGGTGGGAAAAAAGAGAGGGGCTTTAAAAACTTCTAGAAATCCTATCAACCATATTCATGACTTGTTAAGTGTGCTTGCATGGCAAGACCACTTACTGTTATCTCACATATATATATATTCTTATTATTATAGCCAAATTTACCACCCTAACTCCTCCCACAGTTTTTACACTACGTAGACAGTAATATACCGAAACATGTGGATTGTTCCCGATTGGTGTGCTATTACTTTGTGGAACGTTTCGCCGAATGGTTCACGAAATATCAGCGTTTTTGTGGTGTGAAATTGGTCCCATAGGAATGAATGGCGAAATGTTCAAAACTAGAGTGGGAGCTGACAAAAGCTGGAGTGTGAGCTGAAAAATCAGGACATGATTTCTAAACTGCCATCACTCCCTCATTTTCAAGCCACTCCACCCAGTTACTCCGCCCACTCCAGTTGTCGACTACTGGTGGAGGCAAGAACACTTCACACAATTTCCCCAGAAATTGTAGCTTTTCTAGTTTTACATGTTCTGTGACTGATAGCATTGTTGATTTGCTTTCCCCCCCTCTATATTTTGGTAGGTTTCACTGATTCCAGTTTCCTGAAACTGCTCAAAAAGATGCCAGATATTGAACAGCTTTATGGCCTTCATCCAAGGTATTTGGAAAGACGCAGAGTGAGAGGCCATGAAGCTTTTAGCATTCCTGGTGTATTAGAAGCCTTGCAGTCCTGTCCCAATCTCCTGGTGAGTGCTCCTTTTTGCCTGTCCAATAATGTTGTAGCAGAAGTGGTTTCATATTCTGTCTCTGCTGTGAGGTCTTCTGTCATTTCTGCTGTACACTTTGTATTTTAATGAACTTGACATAGTATTGTCATTTTGCTTAGTCATATATTATAGGTAGCTCTTCATTTATAGAAGAATAACAGAATATTCCAACCAATAAAAACTTTTGTCTGCCTACATGGAAGTGTAGAGAGAGCAAATATGCATATCTTCAGTGCCGGTTCACATGTATGAGGATTGGATGCTGTTTGAACCGTTTTAAAAAGTCATGTACGTTTTCTAAGCAGTGCCTTCAGGTTCAGTTGCAGATTACAGGCCATTGACTTCTATGGGAACGGTTTCTAAACCCGCATAAGTGTGAATAGGATAAAATCCTGTGCTAATCGTGTCCTGGACCTGATGTAAACCTGACATTATTATTACTATACAGTATTTATATAGCACCAAAAGGTTTGCTCAGCGCTGACGTAAACTAGTGAACAACTACTGGATCAATTAGCTGTGAAATTTGAGCTTTAATCTACACCGCCCATGTGTGAATCAGCTCTGTGTTTTTAATCACATCTGAGTGTTCCGAACACCCCACACAAATTGATTGGATGATGGATCTGGTGGAAAGCTGAGTTATTAAAGAGAGGCCACTGGTGTATGTGTTTACTTGAAGGGAATTTTTTTGCAGACAGTATCCCATGGGTGCAGGGAGTGGGACACAATATGGCCCTACAGTCCCTGGGTGGGACCCCTGTGAGGAGGCCAGTTGCAGGGAGTCCACTCGAGATTAGAGTTTAGTCCAGTCTGGCTTATAATTACTAGAATAGATTTGTGATCATTGGATCAATTGAGCTGCTTTATAGTATCTCTAAAGGTGTGGAACCCTCCTACCACCAGATATTTTAGGAGCATTTAAGGTTTTGTGCGCCACCTTGCACCCCCTTGAACCCCATATAGTAGATATAAAAAGTCTACACACCCCTGTTTAAAATGCCAGGTTTCTGTGATACAAAAATATGGGACAAAAATAATTTCAGAACTTTTTCCACCTTTTAATGTGACCTATAAACTGTACAACTCAATTGAAAAACAAAATGAAATCTTTTAGCGGGGGAGTAAACATAAAAAACTAAAATGAATGTGGTTGCATAAGTGTGCACACCCGCTTATAAATGGGGATGTAGCTATGTTCAGAATTAAGCAATCACATTCAAAATCATGTTAAATAGGAGTCAGTACACACCTGTGATCATTTAAAGTGCTTCTGATTAACCCCAAATAAATTTCAGCTGTTCTAGTAGGTCTTTCCTGACATTTTCTTAGTTGCATCCTACAGCAAAAGCCATGATCCACAGAGAGCTTCCAAAGCATCAGAAGAATCTCATTGTTAAAAGGTATCAGTCAGCAGAAGGGTACAAAAGAATTTCTAAGGCATTAGATATACCATGGAACACAGTTAAGACGGTCATCATCAGAAAATATGGCGAAACCATGACATTACCAAGAACTGGACATCCCTCCAAAATTGATGAAAAAAACGAGAAGAAAACTGGTCTGGGAGGCTGCCAAGAGATGTACAGCAACATTAAAGGAGCAGCAGGAATATCTGACAAATACTGGCTGTGTGGTACATGTGACAACAATCTCCCATATTCTTCAAATGTCTGGGCTATGGGGTAGAGTGGCAAGACGGAAGCCTTTTCTTACGAAGAAAAACATCCAAGCCCGGCTAAATTGTGCAAAAAACATTGAAGTCTCCCAAAAGCATGTGGAAAAATGTGTTATTGTCTGATGAAACCAAGGTTTAACTTTTTGACCATAATTCCAGAAAATTTGTTTTGCACAAAAACCAACATTGCACATCACCAAAAGAACCCAATACCCACAGTGAAGCATGGTGGCAGCATCATGCTTTGGGGCTGTTTTTCTTCAGCTGGAGCTGGGACCTTAGTTAAGGTAGAGGGAATTATGAGCAGTTCCAAATACCAGTCAATATTGGCTCAAAACCTTCAGGCTTCTGCTAGAAAGCTGAACATGAAGAGGAACTTCATCTTTCAGCATTACAATGACCCAAAGCATACATCCAAATCAACAAAGGAATGGCTTCACCAGAAGAAGATGAAAGTTTTGGAATGACCCAGACCTGAATCCGATCAAAAATCTGTGGGGTGAGATCTGAAGTGGGCTGTGCCTAGGAGATGCCCTCACAATCTGACAGATTTGGAGTGTTTTTGAGTGGGCAAATATTGCCAAGTCAAGATGTGCCATGCTGATAGACTCATACCCAAAAAGACTGGAGTGCTGTAATAAAATTTAAAGGTGCTTCAACAAAGTATTCGTTTATGGGTGTGCACACTTATGCAACCATATTATTTTCGGGTTTTTTTTTCACTTCGACGTAAAAGATTTGTTGTTCAACCGAGTTGTACAGTTTATAGGTTACATTAAAGGTGGAAGTGGAAAAAGTTCTAAAATGATTTGTTTTTTTTTTTTTTTTTTTTTTTTTTTTTACATCACAGAAATCTGACATTTTAACAGGGGTGTGCAGACTTTGTATATCCACTGTATGTTTTTTAAAATAAGAGAATTACATTTTTTAGTAATATAGTATTTTGTGTTTAGTAAAGTCATTTTTAAAGTAGTGATTCTACCCATCATAGAAAAGGAATATGCTGACCTTTTCTTTAAGTCTATTTCTAAAGTAGCGTATAGAGGGATATAGTTGGCCAGGTATAGCAGCAGCATATCTGAAGTGAGTTTGATGCCCAAGTATGACAATGCATGGGTGCCCCATGTAAATGGGAGTGAGGTTATGATGGTTGCCAGAACTGAATCTCTAAGGTGAGTATTAAGTGCTTCCAATAAGGTTGACTGACACAGTGTGCACTTTTGAGAACAAATTGGAAGCTAAAAATCACACAACAAATCACAGTTAAAAAAAAATTGAATATTAAAAAAATGTGTTAAAGACAACTATATTATAATTTTGCCATGCTTTTTCCCAGGGTGTGGAGACTTCACATCTGGAGCTTGTAGAAGCTATATGGACATACATGCCACAGGTGCATATTTTAGGGAAATTTCGAAATCGAAATGGAGCTTTTCCCATACCACCAGAAAATAAGCTGAAAATACCAATTGCAGCCAAAATTCAGACCTTGCATTTAGTAGGTAAGCATTTAATTAATCTATGGAATTTTAATGATTGTGTGTAAGCATATTGCATATTTATTAACCCATTGTCTCCTTTTACCCCATGAAAAGGAGTAAATGTGCCTGAAATACCTTGTATCCCAATGCTGCGGCATTTATATTTGAAATGGGTGCGCTTAACCAAACCTCAGCCTTTTAAGGACTTCCTGTGCATCAGTCTGCGAACATTTGTAATGCGGAATTGTGCTGGTAAGGTTTTAATTTGTGAACATGTCATGTTACATGGTGCCATTAAAGAGTATATTTTTTCCATTCACATGCATCATTCAAACAAACTAATATGCTTAAAGCCAAACTCCAGATACATAAAGAACACCAATGTATGTAGGTAAATGTATTTTTATGTGCTGCCTGGAGGGAAGATCAAAGTCAGCTTAGGATGGGGGTGAGGAGGTGACCTAGCCCTATTGGTTCATTGCTGTAGAGAAATCTGAGGTTACTAACATGGCTGTAAAGTCTGGCTAGGCTGTGTAAATCTCAGGACTGATAGTGAGAAATACGCTGTAGACAAGAGATTGCTTTGCAAGGCTTACAAGTATTTCGGGCTTCTTGGCCCTGTCCTGCAGCCTGTGACTGCTTCCATGGAAACTTTGTAAGACCCTTGCAGTCTGCGTAAGACATATGTACCTGGGGCACTAGTTCTGCTTTTACAGATCCTTCTGTTCTTAATCTGGAACTCCTTCCTACTACTCTGTGTGGTATTGCCTGGACATCTTTGAGGCTCCCTACAGCAGAGGTCCAGTGCAGGCTTTCTCTCCATTAAGAGACTCTCTCGAATGCCTGTGTTTGAGATATTCTGGACCTATGGGTCAGGGATGTTGTCCCCAGAGGGTACAGGCTGTAGTTTAGCTCTCTCCCTCCTCCCTGATTTCATGCCTTGCAATATGCATTCTTCTCAGTAGATGTTGGAGGACTTGCATGCTGCTCTTCAGCATGTACTTCCCTCACAGGTCATTGTTTCTGTGCCTGCATGGAATAGGTTTCAGAGTTTTCACTTCAACTATTCATGGTTCTGAAAGCTACAGGGCTACTTACATGTTCTTCTTTGTTTACTTGTACAAGCATTTTTCTTTTTCATTCATTGACTAACACAGCCCTTCACATTCTTGACCGTAGGGTTATAGTGCCACCTTCAGAGATAAGACGCTAGGCAGAAAAAAAAAAACAAGTACAGCCTTCTATGGGTAGTCCTAGCTGGTATTAAACACCTCTCTTCTATATGCAGTTCAGTTTTTTTTTCATGCCTAGTATAGGAGTAAGGACCTAGCTCCCTTTTTGGTACCTGTGCACCATGGCCTTTTTGATTTTTTTTTTTTCTTTTTCTGCAAGTTCTCCAATTAACAGTCGTGCTGGGCGACAGGCTGAATAATGTAAATCCTTGTAGTCACTCCAGCCTGGCCAACAAGCATACACAGATCTTTAGCTAAGTGCTGGATCGGCTGTTACAAGCCCCATCCTGGACTGGGGCAGCCAGCAAGTTAAACGCCTTGCAGGGACACATATGACTGGGCTCCTGACATCCATATCACAGTGTTTCCATGGATCCAGTTGGACAATGCAATGGCGGGGGCCTGTGTCAATCACCAGGGAGAGATGAGGAGTTCAGCTGCAGTGCTGGAGGTCTCTCATAGTCTTCGGTGGGCGGAACCTCATATGCCAAGTCCCTCCACGTCTGCATTCTGGACGTAAAAAAAATGGCAAGCGGACTACCTCAGACAACAGATGCTAGATCTAGGAGAGTGATCCTTTCACCCAGAGGTGTTTCATCAAATCTGCCTGCAGTGGGGCATGCCAGACGTGGACCTGCTGGCATTCCACCTCAATCAAAAGGTGCAGAGATTCATGGCAAGAGTGAAGGGTCCCTGAGCGGATGCAATGGATGCTCTGGTGGTGCTTAAGCTTCTAATGTGTTTGCTGTGCAGGTTAGATGCTGAAGGCATCTCAGTTCTGGTAACGCCGGGTGATACAACAAATGTAGACAATTGGCGCTGAGAGGGAACTACATAGTATAAATACTAAATGAAGCATGAACATCTGAGGTACAACTGGAATTTGTAACAAACAATACCACTAATGAAAATACACATGGGGCATAGAAGTCCATAATGTCCATGAATCCTTGAAAGGGTTACAGATGAATGCAGCTCCCCATAGAGTGAAGCAATACTCTGTAGAAGATAGAATGGTGCCCCCTTGTGTTCGTTTCTAAGTGTAGAGGGTTAATCATTTATTAAAATGCGTAGAAGTTAGTAACTACTCACAAACAAAAGGAGTATGGAGGCATCTAAAGCAATCCTCAGGTAAATTGTAATTGTATGCCAATTAGTGATTGTACTGCTTATACATGGCGGTGCTCCGATCCCATCCGCCGATCCATGCTGCATATCCCGTCTTTAGTCCAGCACTGCCAATCCTCGACAAACAGCCTGCCTTGTCCGGCCTGCCCGCTATAAGAGGCTAACTTTACCTACAGCCAATCAGGTCTGAAGAAGAAGCAGTTGCTTCGAAACGCGTCACCTGACTTCTCGCCTTCCTCTTGGTCTGCCGCTGGGTCCGGATTTCCTTGCATTCCACGTTGGTCAACGGCGCCAAATTCAAACTACCTACACTGCTGACAGCTCCATCCAGAAGGACCAGGACCCTAATTCACACCGCTGGCTTCCCTGGTTTACCTGAGGATTGCTTTTACATGCCTCCACACTCCTTTTGTTTGTGAGTCGTTACTAACTTTTATGCATTTTAATACATGATTAACCCTCTACACTCAGATTGGTGCCCCCTTGTATTCGTTTCTAACTCTGGGTGAGCCTACGAGGCATGGCTGGATCAGACGGCCCCTTGCGGTGGCTACTGCGCGAGGACCTTTTTGTCTCGGGGACCAATCTTTCACCCTGCTTTACCATCTTGGGTTTTGACTACTTGGCTATTGAAAGCTAGGTTCTGAGGACCGGTGGTTGCTGGCTTCTGTGTTCCCCCACTATGTTTAAGGTGCGTAAATCCACTTCCCTGAAGATCTATCATTGCACCTGGAAGGCTTTCATTTTGTGGTGCAAGGCTGTGGGTTTGCATCCACGCTCCTTCTGTGTCTCGGATCCTGGCCTTTCTTCAAAGGGGTGTTGATCAGAAACTGGACTTGAGTACCATTAAGGTCCAAGCCTCTGCTCCTTGCAATCTTCTTTCAATGCCTCTTGGCTATGCACTCCTTGGTTCGCACTTTTATTTATGGGGATTGGTATGTTGCTTCCCCTGTGCACTCTCCATTGCCACCGTGGGACCTGAATTTGGTTCTTTCGGTTCTTTAGAACACTCTGCTTGAGAACATCTCCCTTTGCTCAAACTCTCCCAGATGGTCGCTGTTCTAGTTGCTATCACTTCTGCACATGGAGTGTCGGAACTAGTGGCCTTGTCCTGTAAGTCTCCCTATTTGATTCTCCACAAGGATAAGGTGGTTCTCCACCTGTATCCATCCTTTCTTTCGAAAGTGGTTTCTGACTTTCACCTGAATGTGGACATTGATCTCTTCCCTTCACTGTGTCAGCAGCCATCGCATCCTAAGGAGGTTGTGCTAAACTTGTTGGATGTGGTGTGAGCGGTTTGTATTTACCTGTGTGAACAGCCTCGTTTTTGAAGGTCAGATTCGCTGATTGTGATTCTGGATGGCCCACAAAAGGGCCTGATGGCCTCTTCGGCTACTATTTCTCGTTAGATTGGGCAGACTGTTGTCCAGGCTTATGCCATCAGGGGTCAGGTGCCTCTCTTCCCCAACACGGCACAGTCTACCAGAAAGTTTAGTGTTTTTGTCCTTTCCAACACCAAGCGTCCGTGTCTTAAGTTTGTAAGGCGGCTACCTGGTTGTCTGTGTACACCTTTACCAAGTTATAGAAAGTTGATGTTCTGGCATCTTTGGATGCATGTTTCGGCTGCAAACTTTTGCAGGTGGCTGTTTTTGAGGTTTCTGGTTCCTCTTATGGGGGTGTTTTTTGGGTGGTGTTCATGTGTGGTGTTTTTTTTTTTTTTTTTTTTTCTGATTACTCACCCCTCGTTACAGCACTGCTTTGGGATGTCCCTACCATCAAGAATGTGAACGGCTGTGTCCGTCAATGAATGAAACACACAGAAGGATTTTTTTGTTACTCACTGTAAAATCCCTTTCTCTGAATTCATTGATAGACACAACACCAGCTCATCCTTGTTTTTATTATTATTTTTTAATGTATTTATTACAGGTACTTTTTATATAGTTCCGTTATTTTACATAGCGCTTTACATAGACCTATTATTATACAGTCACATCACCCCCTAGCCTTCAAGGAGCATATAATCTAAGGTCTCTAACTCGCATTGATCCATACACATACATTTTAGACAGGAGCCAATTAACCTTCCAGCATGTCTTTGGCATGTGGGAGGAAACTGGAGTACCCCGAAGAAAGCCACGCAGGCACAGGGAGAACATGCAAACTCCGTGAAGGTAGTGCTATGGTTGGGATTTGAGCCAACGACCCTAGTGCTGCCAGCCAGACGTGCTAACCACTTTGCCACTGTTTGTTTGTACTGCTTTGTGACGAATTGAGCTGCCACAGATATTCAATTGGCTGAACTCATACTTGGGTTTTGTTTCCTGTCACCATCACTTCTGCTAGGCAAGTATCGAGGCTGGCAGCATTATCTTGTAAGGAACCTTTCCTGGTGTTACACAATGAAAAGGTTGTCCTGAGACCCAAGGCTTCTTGTCTGCCCAAAATGATCTCGGGCAACGTCGCCAGATGGATTCAACAGGTATTTGTTAAAGCCTATTCTCTGCAGGATAAGGTTCTTCCCTTCCTAATAAGGCCCATTCCACTAGGCCTGTGGCAGTTTTTAGGGTTTTTCAGCATCAAGCATTTGTTTTGCTGATTTGTAAGGCTGCCATCTGATTTTCTGTTCACACGTTTTACCAGGTGGATATTCTGCTGATATCAACTTTGGCCATAAGGTGCTACAAGCAGCCATCTAGTTAGGCTGATATGCCCTTGTTTGTTTTTTGTAGGCCTATTGAAATCTGTTTGCTTTGTTCCCCACCCCTTTTTTATACATTGCTTTGGACGTGCTGTTGTCTAAAACTATGTCTGTGTCCTGCACTGTACGATTAGGAAAAAATATTTTTTTCTTACTTGCCTGTATAATTTGTTTTTTTGGCGTACAGTACACAGGACCCATTACCTCTGTCTGTTTAATCCTTTATTGCTTGTTGAAAAAAAAAAAAACTGAAGATAACTGTTAGTAGGAGGGGTTATATGGGGCTGCTGAGAGTTCTGTTTGCCAGTGCCCAGGCAGCTGAAGGTAGCAACATATAACCCAGCCGTCTAAAACTATGCCTGTATTCTGTACTGTACTCCAAGAATGGATTTTACAGGCAACAATTTTTTCACATTTAATTTCGTAGCTTAGAGTTGGGCTTTAATGAATCCTGAGCATTATTATTACAAGCACCACATGTCTACTAGGTTGTTTTGACTTTACTATGTGTAGTAGTACTGTAGAGAAGAATTCTGATCAGTTCACTCAGCTGAAAGCTGTGTCGATCTTGGGAGTCATACTTCATCCCTTTATTAAGTTATCGTGTATTTACTTTTGTTTTTAAGGACCCACAAACTCTTTAAAGTATGTGCCCTTGGTGACTGGTTTGGCTTCTGCTCGGAACTTGGAACATTTGGAGTTGGTTAGAGTTCCATTCCTTGGAGGACTTATCCAGCATGTGGTGGAGGACAGCTGGCGGTCTGGTATGTTAATAGTGCATTAGAAACTGATTAATTTTTAACCGTGTCTGGTTTAAAGTAAATAAGCAGGTTGTTTTCAAAATATTTGTGGGAAACTGCCATAGTGCTACCTTTTTACAACTCTAGGGCCAATATTTAGCCCTGGTTCACACTGAATGTTCACTTGGAGTGGGGCGATGCCAAAGCTGCTGGTCGGTGCAATTTCATGTATGGCTTTCCTGACATCCGTGCAACTTCATGTACATATGTCTATGCAAGTTACACATGATAATGCAGGAATTTTTTTCAAAATCGGTGCCTCACCGCTCGCATTTGTGTGAACAGGGGCTTACGGCATCCCCAACGCATCTCATGCAAGTATCTACCTAGAGACAGCATTTTTTTTGGTTGAGTGGGGAGGGATTCAAACACCTCAGCATTAGTGTAACCAATAAATTGATCTTCATTAGCAGGTTGTGCCTGTGTACTAGCAGCTATGCCGACTGTGTAAACATTGATGCAACCTTAAATGCCCAAAACCACATTGCCACCCCCTCCCCCTATATTTTGCATTTTTCAGGAACTCTGAGTGAAGGGAGACTAAGTTGTTTTGTTTTTTTTTTTTTTTTGTTCCACATTATAGACGTTTTTCTAGCAGTGCTTTATGTCTGCAGATTTTGGAACAGTTTCACAAATATAATATTCTTAGACGTTGATGTGTTTTTTTATTTTTGTGTTCTTTCTGTACAGAATTAAATTGCATCCCTAAAAAGGCATTGGTGTATAGAAGACAAAAGTTATTTCTTAATAATCACTGGAATTATCAGAAATGTGTTTTTTTTTTTTTTTTTTTTTTTTTTTTTGTACGCCCATATTACTGTTAAACCACTCCCCTGCCTGTAGGACGTCCTACAACATCCTGGACTTTTCAGTGGTTATATCGGGATGAGGCCAGCTATAGGCATCATCCTGGTTTTGCAAGCGATTCTCTTTTATGTAAAGTCACCCCCGCCATAACCCCCCCCCACCCCCTGCTCCATCCGGTGCCTCATTGGGTTATCTTGTCCCTGTAAGGAGGTTGGCACTGACGTTGGCAGTTCCACTTGCTTACCATAGAGCTGATCGGGGACCAGAATGTCCCCGATCATCTCTATGGTTGTAGAAACCAGAAGAGAGGAGTATTTTGTCACTTCCTGATGTTTCTTCTGTTTGCCGGCCATTGCTAGCTAGTTCAAGCATCAGATCAGACCGATCTTTGTCTAATCTGATGCTGGTAAGGGTAGAAAAGAAAATAATAGACTCCAGATTTGTCAGTAAAGAGGACCTGTCACTGTTCGGTATCACAAGAGATGTTTACATTTCTTGTGACAACAATAAAAGTAATTTAAAAAAAATAAATTAGACAGGTGTAAATATAAAAAAAAAAATGTAAAATAAATTTTTTTTTTTCAAAGTGTCCACATGCCACCATACTTGCGTGCAAAGGTGAACGCGTGTTTTGGTCCCGCTTAGCGAAACAATTATAGACTTTTACATGTATAAGAGAAATGTCAGAATTGGCGTGGGTGGGAAGTGGTAAATATCTGTCAAGCTTTTTGGGTCATCTTTCCAGTAGCTGTGTACTAAAAGACTTTTATCTAATTCCCCCCCCCCCCCCTTCAAACTAGCACTGTATGAATGGCTGACCGTACATGTATGTACGATGTAAGAAGTTATACTGTAAAAGTTAGGTTATATGCAGGGGTTGGACAAAATTATTTAAACACCAGGTAAAAGAACAAAATCTCTACCTAATAGTGTTGGACTGCCTTCGGTATCCAAGATGGCCTGAATTCTCCTAGAAATTGATAAATATGTCTTGGATTGTGGATAATGGAATCTGATACCACTCTTCATGCAGAAATCACTACAGTCCTCACAGGGATGCCGGAGGCAGAAAACAAGCCCTAACCTTGTTCCCCAAACACTTGTACATAGTCACTGGCCGTAACTCTACCCTTCAAGGTGATGATGAGGCCTGAAGAATACTAAGAAATGGCTGCTCAAACCATGATTGCACTGCCACTATGCATTACTGTTGGCACAAGACAGTCCTGGTCCTAAGCCTGGGACGGTGTTTACCATGTGTAAACCCATCCGGTGGTTGTAAACAGTGCTAAGGTCAATTCATCGGACCATATTACAGTCTTCTGTTGAGTGAGAGTCCATGATTTATGTGTGTTGCACCACTCTCTCCTCTTCTGTGCTTTAAAATCAGTCACTAGTAGTTAGGGAAAAAATTAATGGGCAAGCTGCAGTTACCAATAGAGTTCCCTTTGCAAAGTTTTTGTGGACACATGCTTTTGGAAGACTGACATTAAGGTCTGCAGTCACTTTTGCTACAGTTGTTTTCTTATTCCGGGTCACAGTCCTGCGCAATGTCCTGTTGTCTTTTCAGTCAGTTGACCATGTCGACCGTGCTTATGCTTATTACATGACGGTTTCCTGGCAACTGTATATGCCGTCATAACCTTTCATAATGTACCTTGCAGCACCATAAATAAATTGCAAATTTCAGTCGCAGAGGCACCAGCTAAGCGGGCACCAACAATTTGCCCTCTTTTGAAGCTGTCAGCTCTCACGTTTCCATATTACTAGTATGTCTTATCAGACAGTGGAAGCAATAGAATTTTAAATCACTTCCGCTTTCAACACGAAATATGTTGTCACTTTTTTTTATACCTGCAAATCATGTAGTGTTTCTATTTTTTTTTGTCCAACCCCCTATACCCTCTAGTCTGTTTCTTTTTTTTTTTTTTATAAATATTTATTGGTTTTCGATCAATCATTATATTCCTCATAATTTATTTAATTCCCACAAACCCTGAATTCCCTCCCCCCTCTCCCCCCCCCCCCCCCCCCCCCCCCCCCCCCCATCCTCATATCCCTCCAACCCACTCTGCCTTTTCTTTTCTAATCCGAGAGAAAAAAAAAAAAAAAAAATAACACTATCCTTTTCTTTCTAAAACTCATTTCTAAAATACTTATTTGTTTCAAAAGGTATAAATCAAGTATATTTCACTTTCTGTCTAAATTCTTCCCATTTTCCCCACTTTTTATAGTACTTCTCCATTCTCGTCTATGTGTATGTAATATTAAAGTCTTTCCATCTCACATAACTGATTCATTTGATCAACCAATCTTCTTCCGTCGGCACCTCACTTTTTTTCCAAAACTGGGGATCAAGCTTTTGGCTGCACTCAGAAAGTACCAAATCCCTGAATCCTTATATGATCTCACTGTAAGCTCAGAGATATGAAGAAGACAATCTAATATCAATCTTAGTACTTTTCCTCATTAAATGGACGATTTTCCCCCAGAACACCTGTATCTTTGAACGTTCCCACCATATGTGATATAGTGTACCCACTTCTCCACAGCCTCTCCAACATAGTGGAGAGAGTTCTCCCCGTTCATCTTGTGCTCCACAATCGGTGTAATGTGCCATCTAACTAAACACTTTTAATTTAATTTTAATTCTGCTAAAAACCTCTCCCTTTTACTTCTCCATCTCTCTATAAGATCTTAGTTCCTCACCCACCATTATTATCTCTCAGTTGCGCGTCCTGTTTAATAATCCAGTTCCCTGTGATGTCTTCCTTCCCAGGTGCAAAATAATCTGTATTTTTAAGTGGCATTAACTGGGAATTGAAAACCCAAACCCTTTTGTCTGTGTAACATCTCCCAGACCTTTAAAACAATAGAAGTGTACACACTTGTATTAACGTCTAGACCTCTATAATGTGTAGGTAACCATATAATCCTGCTTAGATTGGACCCACTCAAATATTTTCAATTTTGACCCAACTTTTCCCTGGGTTTATGAGTCCAGTCAAAGATTCTCGCGATCAAGACCGCTTTATAATATCTCTTGAAATCTGGGAGCCCTAGGCCTCCTCTCTCTTTAATTCTAGTCAGCGTTTCATAGCGTATCCTCGTTTTTTTTTTTTCTCCTCCTTATATACCCCAGCAAACATTTTCCTTCGTGTCCTGAAAAAAACCTCTGGAAGTTTAATTGGGATCATTTGAAAACTTATATAAGGACTTTGGGCAAAATTATCTTTTTTATCGAATTTATACGGCCCATCCAAGACGGATTTCCAGTTCCCAACCTCTTCAATTCCTCTTATCTCGTTTAAAAGTGAAATATAATTAATCTTATACATATTATTAATTGAAGCAGACAATTTTAAACCCCAAGATACTTTAATTCTTTCTCTCTCCACACAAAGGGGAATTCTTCTTGTATTTTTTCTTTTTCACTATTTTTTAAGATTTATATTTAAAATTTCAGATTTTGTTGGATTAATTTTTAAATTTGATATTTTCCCCAAACTCCTTCAATATTTTCATTAAGTTTGGTAGAGAAATACGAGGGTTTCCAACGAAAAACAGATCGTCGCGTAGGCCGCTACCTTAAGTTTTCTGTCACCTATCTTTATTCCTTTTATATTGATATTCTTTCTTATCGACAACAATGGCTCCAGAAACAAGACAAACAACAATGGGGATAGGGGGCATCCCTGTCTTGTTCCATTTGACATCCTGAAGAGCTCCGAACTTCCTCCATTTACCATGACAGTGGCTGTGGGAAATTTATATAAATTACCAATCCACTTCCTAATTCTATCCCCCAACCCTATCTCCACCAAGGTGTCCATCATAAAACTCCAGTTCACTCTATCGAATGCTTTCTCTGCATCAATTGACAGTAATATTACTGGGGTCTTCCCTTTTTCCCCCTCTTGTATAAGCAACAATGATCTTAATCCGTTGTCTCTACCCTCTCTTCCCGGGACAAACCCCACCTGATCCCCATGTATCCATTCTGGCAACAAGACCTTAAGCCTGTTTGCCAGAACTTTTGCAAACAATTTAGTGTCAACATTCAACAGCGCAATAGGTCTGTAACTTACACACAGAGAAGGGTCTTTATCTTCCTTGTGAATTAAAACTATATTGGCCTGTAAGGACTCTCCCCTAATTTCCAACTCGTCTCCAAGAGCATTCATGTATGTCTTCAATCTGGGTATTAGTAACTCTTTATACTTTTTATAGTATTTTACAGTAAATCCATCTGGGCCCGGACTTTCCCCGACCACTGTATCCTTCAATGCTATTTCTATTTCTTCTGACGTGATTTCTGAATCCAAGGAATTCAGTTGGATTTTACTTAGTTTTGTTAGACCTGCATTTTTAAAAATGTTACTTCTTTTTTCTTTATTTACTGTATCAGTATTATTAGGGGTGTCCTGGGGTATAATGTTGTATAGTTTCACTATAATAATCTTTAAATACTCTAGCGATTCCTTTAGTTGAATGGACCATTTCACCCTTGGAGTTTCTTATTTTTTCTGTTTAATTCCTATTTTTCTTTTCCCTCAATGCCCTCATTAGATGTTTTCCCAGCCTATCTCCCCATCTATACCTTTCACTTGTTAGTTTATTAAAGACTCTTCTTTTATCTTCCTCTATTACCCTCTCTAATTCTTATTTCTTTTTTGTTATCTTCTGCCTTAACTCTTTCAAAATATTCCTTTTATGGGCCTGTTCTAGATCACATATTTCATTTAAAAGTCTATCGATCTTTTCTCTCCTTTCTCTTTTCTTTTTTTGCCCCTATTGCAATAAGTAGTCCTCTGGTATAGGCTTTATGGGCTTCCCACAGTGTTGCAACCGACACTTCCTCAGTATCATTCTCTTCAAAATATCTTTCAATTTCTATTTTAATCTTTCGATCGATCTCATCCAGAAGAAGTGCCTCATTCATCCGCCACACAAAACCACCTCTATCTTCTCTACCCCATCTTAACTTCATTGCAACCGGAGAATGGTCTGAGATAGAACTCCCTCCAATCATAACCTCTACCACGGATTCTATGAGTTGATGTTCTACCAATACGTAATCCAATCTGGGAGTAAGTCTCATGAACATGCAAATAAAATGTATAATATTTATCTTTCATATGCCTGATTCTCCATATGTCCACTAATTGATATTCATTCAATGATTTCTTTAATAATCTCAAGGACCTATTCTCCTCTTTCCTCAAATGGGAGGTAGTATCCAGCCGTGGATCCATACAAAGATTAAAGTCCCCCGCTACTATCAATCGACCTGTTTTAAAATCCATCAGCCTCTGCAATACTTCCCTTAGGAATATCTCCGGTTTCTTATTTGGGCAATATATACTAGCAACTGTACACTCAATATCCTACAACTTACCCCTTAAAAAACAAAAACCTGCCCTCTGGGTCTGTTATTCTCTGCTCCACTTCAAACCTAATATTTTTTGCGAACCCTATAGCTACCCCTTTTGCTCTTCTAATTGGTGAATCTGCATAATACCATGTCGGAAAATATCTTGACCGCAGCCTAATCTTAGATTCCAAATCCAAATGTGTCTCCTGCAAAAAAACCACTGAGGATATCCTATGTTGTAACTCCTTAAATAATCTAAATCTCTTTCCAGGGCAGCTTAGCCCCTTTACATTAACCACTTCCAGACCGGACACTTTTACCCCCTTCCTGACCAGGGCAATTTTCAGCTTTTAGCGCTATCACACTTTGAATGACAATTGCGCGGTCATGCAACACTGTACCCAAATGAATTTTTTACCATTTTTTTGAGATAGATAAAGCTTTATTTTGGTGGTATTTATTCACCACTGGGATTTGTATTTTTTTTTGCTATGTAAATGAAATGTCCAAAAAATTTGAAAAAAAGTGTTTTTTTTTTTATAAAATTTTGCAAATAAATAATATTTCATCATAAATCTTAGCCAAAATTTTATTCCGTTATCTTTTTAGTATAAAAAAAAAAAAAAATCCAAATTAGTTTATAAGCAAAAATTATAATTTTTAAACATTTTTTTTTACATTTTTATTTTATTTTTTTTATATTTTTTATTTTTTTTTTTTTTTTTTTACATACTGTCACCCTAGCAGTACAGTGTCACCATGGTGACACTGTACTACTTGTGAGGGGTGATGAAGATTTTTTTTTTTTTTTTTTTTTTTTACACTGATTGCTTTTACACCCATTTAGGATATAAAAGCAATCATTTCTCTTTCTCTCTGTGTGCATTCTTGCACTCATTGAAAAGAACTGAGTGAGCTGTGATTGGTCATAGCTTGTCACATGGTACAAGGCTTTTGTGAATAGCCTTGTACCATGTGACCTCTGTGATCATTCACAGATTTCACACATAGTAAGCAATGATGTCAGAAGTGACATCTTGCTTACTACTTTGCATGTGATCACTGATTGGCCAATCAGTGATCACATGATCGGGACCTCGTACAGAGGTCCCGTCCGACGATCGGTGTTTCACTGTGTCCGGAGCAGGACACATCGCGGCGCACCGGCAGCGAGCACCGGATCGCGGTGCTGCGCGCTCCCAGGGAGCGTGCACAAGCAGGGTGCGGGGAGGCCGTTTATAGACGGCCACCCGACCCTGCAGTGCCACCGTCCGGCCGTTTATATACAACGGCCCGGTCGGTCGGGAAGTGGTTTAAAAGTTACAAACTGAACTTCTTCCATGTTGTCCCGCTCTTTCTTTTCTCTCTCTTTCCTCCACCCATCCTCTTCCACTTACCCCTCCTATGCAGAGTATTACCTGCCCGACCCCCCACCCCATCTCTCCACCCTCCTCCCCCCCGCACCCTCCCCTCCAGGCCTCCTCTGCCTTTGGATCATTATCCACTATCTAGTCTGTTTCTAAGCTGACCTTTGGGCTTCTCTTTTAAGAAAGAGTACACCTGCATCTCTCTAGTACAGGTAGGACATTTGCTGGTAATCTGATAAAGGGATGATTTCCTGAGTACTGGCAAATATTTGTAATAGCTGTAATTCAGGACTAAATATAATTACACCTCATAGCCTTTTTTGTTGTGTGCTGGTCTTTTTCAGGAGGGTTTCGGAATTTGCATACAATTGTTTTGGGAGCTTGTAAGAATGCTCTTGAAGTGGACCTTGGCTACCTCATAATAACAGCTGCTAGAAGGTAGGATATATGTTATAAAGTACATTGCAAACATCCTTTTCCCTATTCACATTTTCAAAGAGCACATCTAAATACTTTACATCATTTAGTATGCATTTCCAAAATGTGCCAGATGCAAATCACTTCATAATTGATGTGTTGTTTGCTGTACATATTGATGAATACAGTTAGAGGAATTCATAAAATGTGGCTGAGACAAATTCAGTATCAACTGCTGCTGTTGTGCATAGCTAATAATTAGCTTTTATTGTTCTGTTTTTTTCCCACATAGCTTAGAAAATAATTTTAAAAGCTGATTTGTTGCACTTCACTGAGCAGTTTGTTTTTGACATTAATGTTTATTAATTCTGCTATCCAGTATGTTCTATTAAAGTCAATTTCCTAGTTTTATAGTTCTTCAGAATTACAAATCAAAGCAGGTCAATATAAACAAGTCTTTTTTTTCAAACTTTTAGTCTCAGAGAAATTGTCAAAAATATATACAATTGTCTTTGCAGAATAATATAAAATTTTGTAATAAATTGACTTTTCACTGTGGGTGATAAGCCTTCATTTCATGCACCATAATAATAAGGTCATTCTAGCACAGGAGACTTGCACAAGACGCATATCTGAAATGTATTGTCATTCCTTGTGTTGTAATGCCCTCATATTTCCGGCTCATGTATTGTATGCTAATGCTATATATGCTTACATCAAGGTTACACGAAGTACGCATTCAGCCCTCTCTGACCAAAGACGGAGTGTTTTCTGCACTGAAGATGGCAGAGCTAGAGTTCCCTCAATTTGAAACTTTACATCTGGGATACGTTGATGAGTTTTTGCTACAATGTAAGTAAACTGTGTAATGTGATAGGTCAGACTGATTTGCTTGTCTTTTTTTAAATGATTAAAGCCTTTTTAATGAGAAGCATCAAAATTTATTTTCAAAGAGTGGTTTAATAAGCAAACTGGGAATGCCAATTCCTGATATAAGCAGCAAATGTCGCTGTGAATGAAAATCCTGATACTTGTATAGCAAGAGTGCTCAACCTGTGGCCCTAGGAGCCCTCTGATGTGGCTCACGACCTCAAACCAAGGAAGCGCACTTCTGTTACATTCTGTGGGTTTGGCACCCTTTCTGAAAGAGCACCAAACCCTCAAGATATAAAGTTTATGGCAAAGCTCAGCTAACTCACAGAAAAGCCGCAGGTGCACTGCGGTGCGGGTAAACTGAAAAGAATCCGTGTAAAAGCAGCCTTTATAGGGGCCTCAGGACAGCAAGGGCTCCTTTTTTATATTTGCAGTTTTGGGGGGGGGGGGGGGGGGGGGGGGGGGATACAACACCATAGTTGAGATTTCAGTGCTTCTGTTGTGAAGAATACATTTTCCACAATTCTTGCAGCCACAGAGAATGAGGATTTTTTTTTTTTTTTTTTTTTTTTTTTTAAGGTGCTTTTACTGCCTGTGCTGAATATTTTTAAACCTATAGTGTGTGGGCACAGGTTCACTTTTTAAAGAATAGCTGTAAAAATATATAGGTTTTTTAGAGGTAACTTGAACTAAAAAGTATGCAGACTGTCATCGCTGACCTCTATTTCTGAAAATCTTATCACCTGCATGTCTTTCAATCCAAACTGAGTTACAGACAGGCATCAAATATGCATAACAGTGGTCGTAGGTGAAAGTTCTCATTTATCCAAGTTGTGGCATAGCTAGTAGTAGTTGGTCACATGCAACCAGCCTTGCTTTGTTAAAGACCTTTTCAACCCAACAGGAAAAAAAAAAAAAAATCTTGACAGATCACCTTAATTGCCTTACTAACATGTGCAATGTTAGTGCAGCCGTCTCCACCTGCTGTATCTTTGTGCTGTGACAGGGGGACTGCCCCTCACCCCCAAACCCCCCAGCTTCTGTCAGAAAGACAGGTACACCCACTGACAGAATTTTGGCCAGTTTCTGTTGAACCAGCAGATAACTGCCATTGTTTGGCCCTTATGTACCCAGCCTTACTGTAATCACAGTTTTGCCAGAAAGTCTGGGATATGTGCCAACTGTTTTAATTAGATTGTGTGAACTGTTGTCAAATCCCTGGGCCTGGAGAGGAAAAAAAAAACACATCTTAATAACTATATATCTATCTCTATATCTATCTCTATATCTATCTCTATATCTATCTATCTATCTATAATATATATATATATATATATATATATATTATATGTGTGTGTGTCACAGCAAGCTTTAAAGGGTCCAACCCCATGACTCTTTCCTCTATTTATTCTTTGTTTTGTGCCATACTGTATGCAATATTATTAATGCGTAAGAATATTGACATTTCTTTACACTATCATACCAGTTTGTTTCTTTATAGTACATACCAGGACATAGAGCATCTTCATTCCTATTATGATAGGGTTCTGCTGCTACTTTCAGGTGACTGGACACTGTCAAAAAAGACAGGAAATCCCTCCCAGGTATAACCCCTTTCCTGTCAGGCAAGGTGATGATTTGTTTGTTCCATCTTATCCTGTACATTGTGTTGGCATCTTCAAACGCAGAGGGACAAGGCTTTTCACCCCTTGGATGTGGTTCATACTATCAAGTGTTGCCTAAAGTCAACTGCTGCAAATTGCCAGTCTGATTCCCTCTTTGTGCTTCCTGAAGGCCCAAGGAAGGGTCACACAGCTTGAAACTCTACCATTTCTGTATGAATCTGTCAGCTTATATTTCAAGTTTATGGTTTGAAGGGAGGCCACTTCTGGTTGGCAATTTTTGCATGTTACTGAGGGAGGTTCTCACCTGTTTTAGATTAGATTAGTTATTTGGAGTATTGGCTTATGACCATGTTGCTCTTCCCTCATTTTCAGTGGTTTGGGATGTCACTGTTGTAATGGAGATGAAGATAACCTGTGTCTTAGGATGTACAATAAAGAAAATGGGGTTTTTGGTTTACCTGTAAAATTGAGTACATCACAGGACACAGAGATCCTGCCCCTCTGCCTTTGTGTTCTTTTGTATAAAAACTGAAGCCTTGCCCGATGGGAAGGGGTTTTTCCTGTGAGGGGATGGATCTTTTTTGCTAGTGTCCAATCACCTGAAGGTGGTAGCATAACCTTTATTGTAATTGAGATGAAGATATCCTGTGACTTGTGTACTCCTAAGAAAAGGATTTCACAGGTAAGACCAAAATCCCATTATTGTCTCTGTTCCTTGCCTGACCTCCAACAAGGCTTCTTTTGTGTACAGGTAAGATGACTAATGCTGATCTAATGAAGTATGGCCTGGCAGATGTGGCAGAGAACCCTGGTATTATCACTGACATTGGCATGAAAGCTGTAAATGAAGTCTTTTCCTGCATCAAGTACTTGGTGATCTATAACTGCCCTCACCTGCACAATCCAAAGAACTGGATCACAGGTAATAAAAGCCGACTGATTAGACTTTATACTGTAGGTTGCTCATTTTCTGTTGATGATCACCAATATCTGTCGCCCTAGAAAGTTAATTTTTTCCTGTTCAGCCAGCATGCTGTTTGGGAAAAAAAAAGTTACAGATTCCTTCATCCACATAAACAAGGTAGATTAAAACTCCACTTAATGTAATGATGCTGCAGTAGGAATATTATAGGACCAATATGTTCCATTTTTTTTAAATGGCTAATCTATTATCATTTTTGCATTTGTTTATGGAAACCCACCAACTTTATACACTGCAGTGGAGTGGAGAGAATGGTTTAGCAAGTTTGACTTTTAACCACTTCAAGTCCAGACACTTTCGCCCCTTTCCAGTCCAGGTCAATTTTCAGCCTTCACATTTTGAGTGACAATTACTCAGTCATGCAACGCTGTACTCATAAGAAATGTTTTTAATTTTTTTGAGACAGAGCTTTCTTTTGGTGGTATTTGATCATTACTGGGTTTTTTATTTTTTGCTATATAAATGATAAAAAAAAGGCCCGAAAATTTTGAGGAAAAAATAATTTTCCTTCGTAAAGGAATAAGTTTCCTTTAGCAAATAATTCTTCAGAAATTTAGGTTAAAATGTTTTCTGCTACCTTTTCTGGTGTAAAAATAACCCAAAGCAGTGTAAATTATTTAGTCTGTGTGAAAGCTATAGAGTCTACAAACTGTGGGATATATATCTGAAAATTGATCAGTTGAGACCCTAAAATGCCAGATGCTGGTTTGACGTATAGCCGTGATCAGGATGCTGGTATTTGGGTATGGCGGTGATCAGAACGCTGGAATGGAGTATGGCGGTTATCAGGATGCTGGAATGGGGCTGGCGGTGATTGGCGGTGTGGGGCGCTGGTTATGGCGGTTTGATTGGGCGCTGGTATGGCGGTGATTGGGGACCCTGGTATGGCGGTAATTGGGGCCCTGGTATTATGGCGGTAATTGGGGCCCTGGTATGGCGGTGATTGGGGCCCTGGTATGGCGGTGATTGGGGCCCTGGTATGGCGGTGATTGGGGCCCTGGTATGGCGGTGATTGGGGCCCTGGTATGGCGGTGATTGGGGCCCTGGTATGGCGGTGATTGGGGCCCTGGTATGGCGGGTGATTGGGGCCCTGGTATGGCGGTGATTGGGGCCCTGGTATGGCGGTGATTGGGGCCCTGGTATGGCGGTGATTGGGACCCTGGTATGGCGGTGATTGGGACCCTGGTATGGCGGTGATTGGGACCCTGGTATGGCGGTGATTGGGACCCTGGTATGGCGGTGATTTGGGGCCCTGGTATGGCGGTGATTGGGGCCCTGGTATGGCGGTGATTGGGGCCCTGGTATGGCGGTGATTGGGGCCCTGGTATGGCGGTGATTGGGGCCCTGGTATGGCGGTGATTGGGGCCCTGGTATGGCGGTGATTGGGGCCCTGGTATGGCGGTGATTGGGCCCTGGTATGGCGGTGATTGGGGCCCTGGTATGGCGGTGATTGGGGCCCTGGTATGGCGGTGATTGGGGCCCTGGTGGTATGGCGGTGATCGGGGCCCTGGTATGGGGTATGGCGGTGATCGGGGCGCCTGGGGTATGGGGTGATCGGGGCCCTGGTATGGGGTATGGCGGTGATCGGGGCCCTGGTATGGGGTATGGCGGTGATCGGGGCGCTGGTATGGCGTATGGTGGTGATCAGTCACAGGCTGTGTGCTGGAGCTCCCTCCCTTGTCTCCTTCGTTTTTTTCTCTTGGTGTCAGGAAAGCATGTCAGAAGTGACTCCTGCTGATAGCAGAGGAATAGAGCAGCAGACAGAAATTACACTCAGTGCTCTGGATTGAGAGACGAGTACACACAATAAAGGGATATGTTTTTGTTCATATTTCTTTTTTGGGGTTTGCAGCCACTTTAAGCCCGGTTCACACTAGCGCGATTTTGACCTGCGATATTCTGGCAACATGTAAAGTCACATATCGAGTGAAAACACATCGATTTTATTTTTGGGTGATTCTTGTGCTGCAACTCCCATAGACTTCAATCTATGAAGTCTATGGGAGAAAGTCTTACATTGCCAGCAAGTCGTACATTTGTCCTAATTGCAGTGACTTTGCTGTGACTTCTGATGCAGTGTGTTTTGTTTTTTTTCTGTTTTGTTTAACCCTCATGTCTCCTCGCTGGTCATCGTTGCTGCCTAAAAACTTCCTCCCTTGCACATTCCATTCACACCCTTTTGGGTAGCAGAATCGCCCATTCCTGCTCCCATGTTTTTTGGGGTCTTTTTGTATGTTTTTCACATGTAAACATGCATCACATATAGGACAGCCCTCAAAAAACCCAGTTTTTGAGTGGGCTGCCCTATACACGACACAGGTTTACACGCATCTACCAAAGCTCAAGAACCCCTTTGGTTGTGCAGCATCGCACATTTTGGCAGGAAAACTCACATCTGCTTAGCCTGCATTCACATCTGCGCATTTCTGAACATGTGGCACCCCCCCACAGTAAATGTATACTTGTCACATGTTTCAGAAACTTTCAGCACAATGCGCGTCACGCTTGCATTGCAATTCAGGCTGTGTTCGCATCTGTTCTCTTCCTGAAAGCTTCCAACATGCACAAAAAACGTGCAACAAACTGGCATTGTGTGTCCACTCCTAAAAGAATCGGAGCATAAAAACAACCATACCGGAAGACTGCAATCTTCCTTTTAAGGATGTTTTTATGCTCAGATTCTTTTAATGCATGCGAGTGCAATTTTCTAATTCTCCTTGGTTTTCTACTTACAATCTACACTTAGATGTGGCGCTTCCTATGCTTTTTTCCTTGTTTTTATCAGTGAAGTCACTTTGAAGTCGCACATGGTCGTTGGGGAGTCCTACAGCAAAATTGTGTGACTTTCATTTCATGTTAGTGGGAACCAGGGATAAATATTACTTTCTTTTCTGTAGATTTTTTTTGTGCTAACAGAAGTATGACAGTTTACAAATCTAGTCCAAGAAATTGTAAAAGCCGATCTACATTTCTCGGTGCTTTTGTATGTCTTCACCTCGTTTAGGTCTATCAGAGTGCTGGCCAGTTCCATTTATGGGCTTGTCAGGACAGGAGGAGTGTTCTATGTACACACAAAAACTAAAACATGACTGTTGGGGGAACTTATTTGCATGACTTACACTGTCATTTTTATATTTGTATTATATATTTTAAATTAACGTTTAAAGCTTGGTTGATAACCTGAACTGTACTCTTTGAAGATCACTCTCGCTGGAACAGGCTGGTTGATCTTAGCCTGGTTCGCTGCCATGCCATAAAGTTGGAATCCTTCAGTCAGTTTGTGGAGCTGCTCCCCAGCTTGGAGTTTATCTCACTGGACCAGATGTTTCGAGAACCTCCTAAGGTGAGCCTTCCTTACGGATGCCAAATCCTGCTGAGATTGGCAATGTTCATGGTGGATTAAGATAAATGCCTTTTGCAGCTTATTAGGTGTCTGTGTTTCTGCAGCACACTCATTTTACTATCCACTCTCTAATAGACAAAACCAAAGTGATTTAATAACCACCCAAAAGTTATTTAAAGTGGTTCTAAGGGCAGAAGGTTTTATATCTTAATGCATTCGATGCAGTAAATAAATAACCACCTGCGTGCAGTTATCCCAGCACCCCTCCCCAAAATACCTTCCTGATCTCAATTCAGCAAGTGCAGCAGCTGTCTCTCCTCTTTGGATAAAAAGGCAGGAGCCATTGGCTGCTACTGCTTTCATTCACAGCCAGTGAGGAGAGAGCGGGGGTTGGGGCTGAGCCATGTTCTGTGTGTCAATGGACACAATGAGCTGGCTCGAGAGTGAGCATGCACAAATACCCCTTTGCTATATGGGGACTCGTAAGGGGGAAGGACTCGGGAGCACCGGCAGGGCCCCTGGAAGAGGAAGATTGAGGCTGCTCTGTGCCAAACCATTGCACAGAGAAGGTAAGTATGATATGTTTTTTGTTGTATAGTTAGTAACTGATACATCGATTTCTGAACTATAGATGTCAGCTGGAAGAATAGGAAAGGATAGGCAAGCAGGAATTGCAGGCCACTAAATCAACCCTATGAACCACGTTGAGACTTGCATTGGGAATGCAACCCAACTGGCACACATAAAAGCCCATCAACACAGACCCTTTGATGGTAATCCCTACACACATAATTATATCATACAGTTATTAATATAAAGTCATTTTGTGGCTGTGGAGACTGAGTGATGCCGTGCTTTACTTGTTTTGACTGCCCAGATTGTTGCAAGATACAAAAGTGCTCCTTGTATTTTAATGTTGAATTTTATTGTGTTTATGACATTAATTATGGATAAATTTTGTAGTGAAAAGAGATGCAGCCCATTTTTAAAATCTTTTGTAACAGTATTTTTTCCCCAAAGTAAACAGTCATAAATGGTAATATTTACAAGCACTTGTTTTTTTTTTTAAGGGCTGTGCCCGCGTGGGCCTTAGTGCAGGCACTGGAATTGGTGTTTCTTCTGCCTTGGTAAGCAATCAGAACTCCAACAATGAGAATGAAAACAATAACAATCATCAAAACAACAACCTACAGCACAATAATAACCAACAGCCACCTCACATACCACCCCCGCCCCCCCCCCCCCCCCACCCACCCCCCCCACCGCCTCCACCACCGCAAGAGGAAGGAAATGAAGAACCAGACCTCAGGCCAGAGAACAATGTGGAAGAACAGCATATTGCTGCTGAGGGTGAGCATTACATCTAATTTGTTGGAAGTCCAGGGTGTATGTTGTAAGCATATCAGAAGAACGGTCTGTCCCATTCATGGCAGACATTGTCTAAATGCTATTAAGGCAGGTTAGATGAAATGAAACAGAAATGTGAGAAGAAATGCATTTCCCAAAGCATTTAGTCAAAGTGAACCTGTGCTGTGCCCTGCATGGTTTATTTTAATGCTGACATTTGCTTTGACTTATACACTGCTCAAAAAAAAATGAAAGGGACACTTTTTATCTGCTTTTCAACTGCCTTATAGCAGAAGTACTCCTATAGGGGGTGGTGTGTGTGTGTGTGTGTGTGTGTGTGTGTGTGTGTGTGTGTGTGTGTGTGTGTGTGTGTGTGTGTGTGTGTGTGTGTGTGTGTGTGTGCGTGTGTGTGCGCGCGTGTGTTTTGTCTCTTTCTGGGTAGGGGGCTACCCGTGCTGCTATTAGTTCCTTGGCATTTCAATCACCGGGTCCCGGCTGCTGATTCTCTTAAACAATACAGACCTCTCCCCTGTCTGCACGAACAGGCTGCTTTGTATTGCTCTGCACAGCACTTAAAAAAAAAAATTAAATATAAAAAAATATTAAAAGATATATTAATACAAAGTATATTAAAATAAAAAAAAAGATCGAATTTAAATAGAAATTCAGAGAATAAGAAATTGGGGGTATAAAAAAAATGAATATATAAATGAATAGATACACAAAAATCGTAGATTAAAAATTTAAAAAATGAAATTAAAAATTAAGAGCGCAATAAAAAGCAAGAAAGAATAAGAGGCAAGAGAAAATATAGTATAGTAAATGAAATTGTAAAAGGGTTTATAATATGGTGTTGATGTCTAATTCCTCATTAAGTCCCCCGGGGATAGTGTGTCTAGTATAAATATCCAATAAGTTTCTTGTGAGCAGAGTTTATTAAAGCGTTCAGACTCTGAAAGGCTTTTGGGGATGGATTCTAAAATCCAGACTTGTAGGCCGTCAGTGGATTTATGATGGTATTTCAGGAAGTGGCAGGGGACACTGTGTTTGTCCTTACCATCTTCTATGAGGCGTCTGTGTTCTCCGAATCTGGCACGGAGGGGTCTGATGGTGCCCCCCACATAAAACCTCAAAAAGAACACTAAGCATCAAGAGAATTTTATAGTATCAAACAAACTCTCCAAATTTAAAAGAGACTTAGATGACTATAACCACAACAAACTTTTCACATGGAAGAACCACACCATCCCTTCCTTCATGGATTTAATAATCTCCCCCGCTTTGTGCACAACACAACACCACACCATACGACGTGTACTCATACCACCTCCTATCCCCAACACGGTCCCCCAGACCCAAGAGGTCCAATCACATCACAACCACCATCCCATCAACATGAGCCCACAGACTTCACAACACACACATCAGTCCCGCTCTAACACCACAAAACCTCTACACCACATTCCCATAAATAACTCCAACAACACTCCTACTATAACTCACACCATCACCACCCCAGTACTCAACTCTGTAGTCAACACACCCATAGACACCCAGGACCCTATCACCATTACCCACACAAACGCCACCCAACCCACACCCCTCTCCGCCCCAAGCACCATCGGCATCACCTTTGGATCTGGTACTCCCATAACCATATGCCATAACTCCAATCTAAATTCCACCAACTCTTCACCTACCACCACTTCTCCTTTTTTAGGCCCAAATCCCCCCCCACAGAAAAAGAAAACACACAGAGGATGTAGGGGGGGACGGAGTAAACACCGCACCACACACCAAACACAAACATCGCAAACTGTAAAAATCTTCAACCTATCGAACCATCAATTATCAGACACTGAAATCTCTCTGCTTAATTGGGGTCTAAACTTTTCCCCCACCTCCCCACCAAACCTGTTCACACTATTCAAAGACCTAAACAAATTCATTCGCAACCTTACCCTAAAGAGATTCTTTCACATCTAATCCTTAAAGAAACCAACAGACTGGCACCTCATCTGACATAGAAGATACTAATCTCCCAACCCCATCTGATCCAGATGTTCTAGACCTACTTGAACAATTATACGCCAAATCAAACCCTGAAGACCATCTGTCTCTAAAACTCTCTCTAACTCAACTTTCTTTACAATTTACCAATCCTACACCAGTTGTTCACACCACACTTAGGCCCAAATCCGTATTTAATCCCACACACTCCAAGGGCCCCTATCTAGAAAGCTTCTATAAAGTAATTTACTCAGAGCTCATTAAATTATGTAACCCCAGCCATCAACATTTGTCTTCGAATCTACATAAAGCTGAAAAAGAATCCATTACTACCCTGTCCGACAATAAGGATATCATCATTAAACCGGCCGATAAAGGTGGCGGTATTGTCCTTCTCAGCACAACTGACTATATAAGTGAAGCCAACAGACTCCTCTCAGACAAATTCACTTGCCTCAAAATAACCAAAGACCCGCTACCTGAATTTAAACAAGAAGCCCTACAACTAACAACTACAGCTTTACTTGAGGGAGTCATCACTAAACAGGAAGCCTCCTTTTTATCCAAGGACTTCTTTAACACCCCGTACTTCTACTTTCTACCCAAAGTTCATAAAAACCTTAACCCATCAGGAAGACCAATTGTAGCGGCCACAGGTAGCATTACCAGTGGATTTTCACAATACATTGACCACTTCCTACAACCACTGGCACAGGCCCAACATTCATACATCAGAGACAGTGGACACTTGTTAGAATTGCTAAAAACATATACCTGGGAACCTGATTATTGTTGGGTCTCACTGGATGTTTGCTCACTGTACACTTCGATACAGCATGACGTAGGCATTATTGCCATCCAACATTATCTATCCTTGAATCAATCACTCAATCCCAGACAATCATCCTTTATAATAGATGCCACCACCTTCTGTCTCAAACACAATTATTTCACATTCAGCAATGTTTTTTACCTACAAATACAAGGGACAGCCATAGGCGCCAACTTTGCACCCTCATACGCCAACCTAACTATGAGCTTCTGGGAGGACACATACATATGGCGCAACAACCCCTTTGCCTCACACATCATCTTCTACGGCCGTTATATAGATGACCTCATTGTCATTTGGGATGGCCCTACAACACACATAGACCAGTTTGTAACCCATTGTAATTCCAATCCCTTTGGCCTATCCTTTACCTCCATTCACCACAAAGACACGTTAGTATTCCTTGATCTTAAACTATACCACAACAATCTCAACATATACACAAAGAATCATTTTAAACCCGTATCTGGCAACTCATACCTCCACTTCAACAGCTGTCACCATCCCAAATGGATCCAGAATTTACCTAAAGGACAATTCTGTCATCTTAGACAAAACTGTACCACAGACTCTGATTATAACCTCCAGAGTGACATCATAATCAAGAAATTTCAAGACAAAGGCTATCCACACAATTTGGTAGATGATGCCTACTCCCTCTACCGAGAGGGCAGACCCCCAACACACAACAGTACAGAGCCCTTAAAACCAAGTAAGATTCATAACCAAATTCCATAAACACTTCCACAAAATGGAATCCATCATCAACAGGCACTGGCCAATATTATTGCAAGACCCTCACCTAGTAGACATTCTTGATAAGAAACCAAAATACACTTACCGCTGAGCCACCAATCTCAAAAATAGACTTGCCCCCAGCAAATATAACCCCCCCACCAACACATCCAATTCACTTAGCCTCGTACCTATTGTGGGTATGTACAAATGTAAAAAAGCTCTGTGCAAAACTTGCCAATTCGTTAAACATGGTCAAAAAACCTTCATCACCAAAGGAAAAACCTACACACTAAAATAATTTTATAACTGCTCCACTGACCACGTGATATACTGTTTATCCTGTCCCTGCGGCCTCCTATATGTGGGGGGCACCATCAGACCCCTCCGTGCCAGATTCGGAGAACACAGACGCCTCATAGAAGATGGTAAGGACAAACACAGTGTCCCCCGCCACTTCTGGAATACCATCATAAATCCACTGACGGCCTACAAGTCTGGATTTTAGAATCCATCCCCAAAAGCCTTTCAGATTCTGAACGCTTTAATAAACTCTGCTCACAAGAAACTTATTGGATATTTATACTAGACACACTATCCCGGGGGGGGGACTTAATGAGGAATTAGACATCAACACCATACTATCAACCATTTTACAATTTCATTTACTATACTATATTTTCTCTTGCCTCTTATTCTTTCTTGCTTTTTATTGCTCTCTTAATTTTAAAATTTTTAATCTAGATTTTAATTTTTTTTTTCTTTCCTTATGAGTTGTCGTTTTTTTTTTTTTTTTTTTTTTTTTGTATCTTTTCATTTATATATTTATTCATTTTTTTTTATTCCCCCAATTTCTTCTCTGAATTGAATTTCTATTTAAATTCGATGCTTTTTTTTATTTTAATATATTTTGTATTAATATATCTTTTAATATTTTTTCATATTTAATATTTTTTATTTTTTTTATTTTTTTTGTACTTTTTATACATTTTTTAGTTTATATTCTCCTAATTAATCTTTTATTTCATATTAATTTTACTTCATTCAAATTGATATTCATATTTAGCACTAAGTTTATTCTTAACCTTCATTTTACTATCTACTCCATTCCCTTTACCAATATCTAAGGGAGTATTATGCATAGAACACCCCCCCCCCCTTTTTGTATCATTCTCCCTATTATCATTATTTCATTTATTGTTCCATCTGTTATAATTACTCTGCCCTCCACTTCTATTAAGTCCTTAATCACTATATTCCAATTATCATCAAACCACTTTCAACCATATGGACTTTTTGTCATACCACTGTTATTTGTTATTCATTATTTACTAAGTGTACCACTTTTATCCCATGTTGATGTATCACATTTGCAAGGCGATCCCCTTACTTTTATTTTCATTTATATATATATATATATATATAT